GAGCGTGGTGCTGACAACACCAAGTCAAGAGTTAAGATCCCCTTACCGGTCATCTTTTTTAAAAACAAAAACAACTCACATCTGTGTCTACCTCTGCTCCTTGTACTTCTCAGAAGAAAAAAGGATGAAAGGAGAAAGTGAATAAGAATAGAGCAAAGAAAACGGTAAGCTGGGGGAAAGAGAGAAGACATCTAATCTCTGGGTTGGACAAGTTTGTGAAATTAAATCAACCAACCTACCTTTAGCTTAAATTTGGCATGAGATGGGCTGACATGGTCCCTTTAAGCCCAAGGAAAACTGAGATTGCAACAGGAGAGCAGCTCTTGGCCACCAGTTGGGGAGGAAACGGCCAGGTTATATTAGGAAACTTACAAGCAAGTGGCAAGAGACGCAGACACCCAGGGGAGGCTGGAGTGACAGAGCCCTGGGAAGGGGGAAAGCCAACTTCTGGGGCCATCCCTGCCCTGACACTCTCTAAGACAGGACAGTTCTCCCTGGGGACAGGAAGAACACATCTGAAGAGGGAGGACCCTGCTTACAGCCCTGTGGCTGAGAGGGGCCCTCTGCAGAAGGAAGTACCTCCTCTGATACCCTGTGGACAGCCCCCTCACTTGGCTTTGTAAACTGTGCAGGGCTTCCTATCATCCTCAAGGGAAGGACCAAGATCCTCAGCAGCCCACAAAGCCTGGCATGGGCTGCCCCTGCCCACCAGCCACGCTCACCTTCCCACCTCAGGGCCTTTGCACATGCTTTCCCCTTTTCTTGGCATGCTCTTCTCCCTCTCCCCCTGGCCAGCTTGTATTAATAGTTCAAGTTTCAGCTTAAATGTGACTTCATCAGGAAGATTTCTGGAGGCCCATTCCTTGAGTACTGCTGGAAAGAGACACATGCTGTTGCCCTTCTTAGCACTTTCCCCAAGAGCAGTTAAGTAATTATTATGATCATTTGTTCAATGTAAGCCCTCCCAACCTGTCTTTGGTTTCCAAGATAGAAGGGAGCCATGTTTAGCCTATTTCCACTATGATTCCAGCATCTAGCACAGTTCCAAGGCCCAAGGAAGCCCTCAGTAATCATCTGATAAATCCATGACTATTTTTTCCTGAATGACACCCTTATGTTCTTCAAGGGGCAGGAACCACATCTCTTTTCCCTCATGACTCAGCATGCAATAGGCACTCAATAGCAGATGGCAGTGGCTGCCAAGAGTGTTCAGGTCTAAATTCAGCAGCTCAAACTCTGAGAGTTATTGGGTGCATGTAAAAGGCTGGTGATGGCTGTAGCCATGGTAATACAGTCTTGTCCCTTAGACAAGGCTCCTGAATTGAATAAAACCTGAAGAGAGCCTTATCCCTGCAGTTGCACTTCTGGTTCAGTATAGAATAACATGGATTTTAACCTTAACTCTGACACTGAATAGTTCTAAAACACACATCCATTATTTAAGCCTGCTGAGCCTCAGTTTGTCTGTCTATAAAATCGAGATAATGATATCTACTTCCTCTGGTTGTTCATTCCTTTGAAATTTGGTGTTTGCTATGGACAATGCATTCATTGTGTTAGGTGCTGGGGATGCAGCAGTGAACTAAACAGACATGGTCCCTGCCTGCAAGGGGCTTGGAGTCTAGTGCCTCGGATAGACTAAATTTAATTAACCATTCACAAAAATAAACATATAGCAGCCACAGCAGTGGTCTAGATAAGAGGTGATGGTCCTGGCGTTGGCGGCATGGAGTGGTGTAGAGGGTTAGAAATCTTGATTACTATTTGATTATTAGATAGGGTTTTTAGGTAATGCATGTATGGGACAAAAGTCCTTGGATA